ATGAACTTAACTTCATAAAAAATTCTCAAAACGTCATAATTTAAAAAGGATAGTTTTTAAAGATTGTAAAAAATGAACGTAACAAAAATGACATTTAATCATGTTAAAAACAAATTCTTTGCCGATATTATTTGATTAGCCAATAATTTTCTATCTAGTTGAAAAACGGTTTTTTCTCTTTTCTAGGAAATATAATTTTTTAAACAATTGTCACGTCCGGACTTCGTATTTTTCTATTATTAATCTGATGGGAGAGTTTAAGTAAAAAAAGGAACGGATAAAGGTAGGGGCGCTGAGTGAGAAGCGCGTAGGATGGAACCTCCCCTTGTGAAAATTTTTCATATAATTTTTCATAATTTCTCTATATAATTTTATAACTTTCTCACATTTTTTTATACGAATTGGAACACTTCTCAGAAAATCTACATCTTTTCTCAGAATTTTCCACAGATATATATTAATTATGAAATATCGTAAGGTTTCCAAGATCTTTGTAAGTATAATTTCTGATAAAATGTTATAAAATCTATTTAAAAAATTAAAAAATATTTCTTTTAAATTATGGGATGAGAAATCTCAAAATATCTCAGAATTCACATATATAAAAAATTCTGAGAGAAGATGTAAACTTTCCGAATATTTCTGAGTATTTCTGAAAAATATTCCAATTCGTTCAAAAATTATAAGAAAAATTTTCACCGACTCATCCAAGCGGTATAGATATGTTTCTTAAATGATTTATATAATATATATTTATATAATTCGCGACAACTTTCGTGACCCTTTCGTCACTCTTTCAGAAGTGCGTCATAATAAGGCACATATAGCCAGTGACGCTCTCGCGACAACGAGAGTTGTCATCATACAGAGTCCGTAAGAAAGGGCAGGAAGGTGAAATAAATGAAAAAGAATTATATTCATTCGACAATTTTTATTTTTAAACTACACCTCTCATCTCTAATGACACATAGACCGGATTTCTGTGGCTTTCCAGTTACTTTTATAGGCCGCCACCGAAGGTGACGGGGTTGGATGTGGAGGTGGATCGAGCCGCATCAGGCGCCATAGTGTGGTTTGAAACCGGAGATCCAATAACCGAACGATCAAACTCCCTATGTTCCCTAAGTTCTAATTCCCTTAATGCCTTAGTGAGACGCCTCAACTATCGTCTCCAGCCGCCTCGCCTGGATCTGCCCATCTACGTTCATGATGACTAATTATAACATGTCGAGAGAGAGAGAGAGAGAGAGAGAGAAGGTTGATGGAAGAAGAAAGAAGAAAAAAAAGAAAAGAAATATAAGATCCTGCACGCGAAGTGGGTAACGAGATTAAATGGAGCGAACTTAAAGCGCACGGCTAAGGAGCGCGTTATTAGGTTTGTCGCAAGCTGCAACATACTCCTACCATAGCTCCTACTCATTCTATCAAGCGCGTTGGAGTGAATAAGAGCTATGGTAGGAGCATATTGGAACATGTTGGAGCATACGACGCGAACAAACCTATTGTTCGGTGCGTGGAAGGTGACACAGAACGGCTCTCTGAAAGCGCGCTGTGCTTAGGAGAAGAAATGCAAAATGCACGAATTCAAGTGATCGCGATGCGCAAGGCTTGATATGGAAAACGACCCTCAGGTTAGAGCGCTCTGAATCTGGAAAAAGAGAGGTGTAAAACGCGAAACACCATAGGTTCTATGGGGTAGTACCCGTCTCGCGAACTATATTCCCATACAGCACAGAATACCGCTGCAAAATCTCTGCAATATTGCTGCAACTTTTATGCAACTTTGTGCTGTAGGGTGATTACGCTGTAGTAATTACGATAACTTTTTTAATTTTCAATTCAAATTTTATTACAACTTAGGAACAAATCACTATTCAAAACAAAACTTTATTATAATTAATTATGAACAAACCTTTATTCAAATCAAACTTTATTACAATTACTTATGAACAACTCTTATACGACTCAATGTGTACGCAAATACAATCGAGAAGCCTGAAGGGCAACGACTCGAGAAAACGTAACTCGAACTAAGAGTGAAAATTTAGCAAGTGAAATCATTTCAACAGAATATTACAAATGCTCGAAATTTTACAATTGTCGTAAATGAGACTTATTGTTAGCTGCGAAATCACAAGATTGCGCGTGAAATTTATAAGTATTACTATGAAGAGTCATCGTAATGGCTAACTGCGGAGTCCGCGTAGCGAATAATTCTAAGTTCGTACGGGTGAAAATCCTAGCTACCTCGAATGATTCTAAGTCCTCTCGTAACAGATTATTATCGATCCTATTCGGACGAGATTCTAGTGCGAAATAAGCAAACCGCAGGCCTCGCAGGACCCGTTTATATACTAACAAAGGGGTAGCGTCTCGCGGCAAGGGGGTGATATTGAGTATCATTCTAGAATATTCTGCACGTCTTTCATGTCAAATTTATTAATTCCCCGATCGCAGGATTTTAATAATCGATGCGAAGAGCGAATCTCCGTGAGCGACTCTATGATTAGATGTGCTCGGTTTCGCTCGATTTGCATTTGCAAAAGCATATCGGTACTTATCGTTTTTATGCTCGTGTTTCCACGTATTTCTCGTTGCTAACCGAATATTCGCTTGACGACAGTTGACTTATTTCGTACCTATCTGTCGTTTATTACGCCTAAAATTAATGCTCGTTATTTAATCTGCTATTTTAATGTCATTTTATGCTTTATAATTCAATTTGTCAATTATAATTTGTGAGAATCTATAAGAATATTCTCCTCAGATTTTTCTCAATAATTATATACAAAATGTTTCTAACTTTGCTACTCGATTGCAAAAAGAAAAGGAGCAATTCGTGTTCAGAATCCATAAATTATAAACAATTATTCTTATTTGCGCAAGGAAATACATAGGTCGTCTGAAAAGTTTTGAGCCTCAACATGAAGATGACATTACTCGTCAAAACAATTTTGATACTATAATCGTACATACTTTGAAAGATACCTGCGAAAATTGTAGCTACTTCCGGCGCTTAGTTGTTGTTTG